GACTAATTGGGAGCTTCCTTTGAAGTCGGAGTGCATCTGCCTGAGAGGCAAGGAACCAACATTCTACACTCAAATGTATCAGATCTGTCAAACGGATGCACACGCAACACTCAGGTTCTGGAACAGGACTGCAGACAAGAAGGGGACGAACAACCCTAACTTTCCACCAGAGTTTACAGCTGGTGAACGCAAAGAAGAAGAAGAAGATAACAGTTTTATTGTGCTGTAATGTGCTTGACAGTGCATACTCATTTGATTAGTTGAGTTGAGTCAAGAATTGACATCACAGCACTCGGGGCATTCCCATGTTTGCTTCGTCCTCATCTCCAGCAGCCAGCGCAGAGTTCCAATACTGATGGTACTGGTTACGATCTGGTTATTTGTCCGTCTTGCCTTTCCTCTGAGTGTAGTGAGCCAGCCAGACCCTCTGGTTACACCCAGATGCCTCATTCTCTCCGGGAATAATAATCTTGTTTTTCTACTGATTTCGTTTTTTTGTTCCCAAAGGGCCTTGACCACATCTCCTAGTCAAACTCAAACTCATTTGATTAATCAGGGAGAATATTTCATACTGAATTAATAAAATGCAAATACATAGAAAACATTGTATTAATGTATATAAGGTGATTCTCTCTCTTTCTCTCACTCGCTTTCTCTCACTCTCACATACACTGATTTTACATTTTACTTTATCAGGATATTCAAGACAGCACTCTTTCACTTTACCCTGTCACCCTGATAATTAAAAAAATGTTAAAATAAAAAAGAATTGACCATGTGGAAATAAACCCAGAATATCCCTTTAAACACCCCCAACCCCCAAAAGGAATTTTACATCGGTTATTAACAAATCTGTTTAAATTTATTTATCTGCTTTTTTTTCAAACTTTAAAAAAATCTTCTTTTTAAAGGGACTTCATAATAAACATAAACATAGTGAAGCATTAAACAGATTACATTCCCCTGGGCCTAAACACAGTATATATATCAGGTGGGTCATGCCATGACACCATGACCTCTATCATTGAGGCTTATGTGAAGATTTGACATCATCTTGGCTTTATAAAAACCCAACAAACAATTTGATTCACAGAAAAAAAACCTAAATGCTATTTTCAGTTTATATATTTATATCATGACCTAGTCAGAAAAGTGACATTTATGAGAAACTGGAACCATTCTGTAATTAATAAACATGGATATTTCCTAGAAGGTGTCAAACACAGGGGTAACTGACACTTTTCTATTTGACTATATTTACTGATTTGTGTAATACTTCTCATCCTACTCCTTGCTAAAGACTGGGTAGAAGCATTTACTGTGTTTTTGTGAATCTTTCCTTTCACTTTATTAAGCTTATACGTTGTAGTCTGTGTTTGTATAAAAATAAAACTTTGACGAACTTTCTTAAGATGAACGATCAGTTAACATGAACAAAACTTTGGTGTCAGCAGGAATGTATTAGTATTAGTCTCTAGTTAACATGAATATTTTATTTTAAACACAGACTCTTGATTTTTCAGTCCTTTAGATTTGTGATAATGTTTTACACTTTTTCCTATACGTTAGGACACAAAACTTGTTTTCAAAGCCATGATTCTAAATTTCTTGCATTCAGGTCATATAATCAGATGACCACATATTTTCTGTCTCTCTCAAAAGATGTAGAAGAGTGGATTCTTTTGGTAGCTGGGGTCAGTCAATCACACATTCATCTTCTAATCATATACCATATTTCCTTTCAGCTAGTTGCAAGGGCCTAGCTCATGTTTTCAAATAATGTCTGTGTGTGAGTGTGTGTGTGTTGTGTGTGGGGGGTGGGGGGATGCATATGTGCATTTGTGTGTAATTGTGGGTGTGTGCATGCACCCGTGGGCATATGTGTTTGCAAACACATACAAAAATATGGCATTTGCAATCATAATTAAAATTGTTATCCGATTCACACTTATTACACTGAATAAATACTGAAGGTCTCCTCAGTGAAGTGGTTAAGATGTTTACCTCTTGCTCTGAAGGTCGTGGGTTTATTTTATAAATGCATTTTTTTACGGAGATTCCTGGGGATAAACACTGAAGCAGTTCATGTTTTATGTCACATTCATGGCAGGTGGCTGGCCAGTCATCAGAAGGAGACTGAGGCACATGTGATAAAACTCAGTGCAATGAAGTCAATCCTCTAAACAACAACAAAATACTGATAATCTGATTCCATTTGCCTGAATTATTGACACAGTTTTTAATAGCAAAGCTATACACTGACCCTGTAAAAAGTTATAATTTTATCACTCAATATTTTGCTCGTAAAATACGCCGCAATATTTTACCACTTGGATTTTTTGGAACTTCATCAATGAACTGAACTCCACCACGAAGCCTTTTTGTGTGAGAAACTCTTCCTGTAGAGTAAAATAATTTTAAAGTTGTATATTATTTTGTTTAACTGTGCCATCTGACTTAACACAGTGGCTCTCAAGCTTTCTAATGCCGTGAACCTTTAATACAAATCCTCATGTTGTGGTGACCCCCCAGCCATAAAATTATTTCCGTTGCTGCTTCATACCTTCAGTGAATATGTGTCTTCCGATGGTCTAAGGCAACCCCTGTGAAATGGTGGTTCGACCACCAAAGGCGTCACGATGCACAGGTTGAGAAATGCTAGCCTAACACATCTGATTTCGGCAAACCCCTAATTATTCACCGTTTACGACATTATTATTTAATGGCAGTGAGTCTTTTTTACCTTCCGAAATGTACCCACAAAGGGAAATTAATTTTCTGTTTCCAATTCTTTAACTTCACCTTCTATCTCTGATATAACAATTGCTGTTATTAATTATCTGTGTCGGTTCCAGGGTCCCATTGTGGGAAAGGCGAGAATGGATCCACTGCCTCCATAAAAGCATGTCAAAAGAGTCAACTAACTGGGGGCTTCCTTTAAAGTCAGAGTGCATCTGCCTGAGAGGCAAGGAACCAACTACATACAAGTAAGCAGGATCTGTAAACGGATGCATGCACAAAACTTAGGTCCTGGAACAAAGCCAAAGCCTAGAAATAGGCGAACAACCAGGTCTTTCTACCGGGGTTTATAGCCGGTGAACAAAAACAAAAACAAACAACAATTATCTTTGCCTAGCATGTTGACACGACCGACACGAAGATGGGCACAGGATATAAGTGACTCCTTGAGTATGAAAATGAAAGTACATGAGGCAGGAGAGATCGAGTTTCTTTCAGGCAGACTGTGATGGTCAGCCATCCAGTTTGAGATCTTCTCTCAAGGTGTCAAACCTTCAGGTCCTGTTGGTCTGTCATCCAGACTGAGATCTTCTGATCTCAGGGTGTCAAACCTTCAGGTCCTGTTGGTCTGCCATCCAGATTGAGATCTTCTCTCAGGGTGTCAAACCTTCAGGTCCTGTTGGTCTGCCATCCAGATTGAGATCTTCTGATCTCAAGGTGTCAAACCTTCAGGTCCTGTTGGTCTGCCATCCAGATTGAGATCTTCTGATCTCAAGGTGTCAAACCTTCAGGTCCTGATGGTCTGCCATCCAGGTTGAGATCTTCTCTCAGGGTGTCAAACCTTCAGGTCCTGTTGGTCTGCCATCCAGATTGAGATCTTCTGATCTCAAGGTGTCAAACCTTCAGGTCCTGTTGGTCTACCGTCCAGACTGAGAACTTCTGATCTCAGGGTGTCAAACCTTAAGGTCCTGTTGGTCTGTCATCCAGACTGAGATCTTCTGATCTCAGGGTCTCAAACCTTCAGGTCCTGTTGGTCTGCCATCCAGACTGAGATCTTCTGATCTCAGGGTGTCAAACCTTCAGGTCCTGTTGGTCTGCCATCCAGACTGAGATCTTCTGATCTCAAGGTGTCAAACCTTCAGTTCCTGTTGGTCTGCCATCCAGACTGAGATCTTCTGATCTCAGGGTGTCAAACCTTCAGGTCCTGTTGGTCTGTCATCCAGACTGAGATCTTCTGATCTCAGGGTGTCAAACCTTCAGGTCCTGATGGTCTACCATCCAGATTGAGATCTTCTGATCTCAGGGTGTCAAACTTGTTGGCAGCAGCTCAGATGGGATAAACAGCCCGCAGGTAGTGTAGTTAAAATTGCAAGGATGGCTAGGCCTCACACAAATGTTAAGCTCACATACCAGTATTGCAGACTTCACTGCTTCCTACACATGGAAAAGCAAGGAGTGCTAAATGAATTTCAAAAAATCAAGTTGAAAAGTTAGTTGCGTATCCTTTACAGGACGTTTCAGAACCAACCCCAGCATTTTTTTTTTTTTTTTTTTTGCTGTTGCGGTTTTTCTTGGAAAATTTACTTCCAGTAGTTTGCCACTGCTTTATGGACAGTCGGCTTCTCGATACCACTGTTGAAACCAACCCAAGGTGCAAGGCCAGTAGCTGAGATTGAACTTGGCACCCCAGCATTACGAAGCTCGTTTGCAACGCCACAGACGCGACAACAAATCAAGAGGGAAGGTAAAGACGCTGGAGCTAGATCAACTTGAGTAGATGATGAAGCTCTAAGGACTTGTAATAAAGAATTTCTACAGACATGAGAAAACCCCATGGCATGACCGAAGATACAAGTTCATATTAATGATAATGTAGTCACATGGTGTCTTTGCATATAAATATACCTTGAGCTTACCCATAATAATTTCCATAGACCATCAACAACATGCCCAGGTAGACCTAGTCTCAAATGGGTATCAGGTACAATCCTGGGAAGTAAAGGTGGTCAGTAGAATGCTGACTGCATCACCCACCTAGTGCAGACTGTTCTATCAAATATAAATTTCACCCTATACGCATAATGTCCCTAAAAACGAGGAAGAGGGTCCTTTCTTTCTTTATTTATTTATTTATTTCTTATTTTTTTTTTTTAAATGCTTTTATCCACAACATAAGAAATTCTCATCAATCTAACATGTGACAAACACCAGAAATAGTTTCTTTTCCTAAAGTGAAACTAAAGATTTAAATCTGTACCTACCTTCAATAAATTTTATGATTTCTTCCTCTGTAACACTTGATCCTGGCTTCTTAACTATAAAAGCTTTTGGTAATTCCCCAGCTGCTTGGTCAGGTACCCCAATTACAGCTGCATCCTGAACATTTGGGTGACCAAGCAATATTGCTTCAAGTTCTGCTGGAGCAACCTGAAAACAATTATTAGCTGTTACAATGCGCCTTTTTTATTTAAGGTATGACAAATTTTATAGAACGGAGGGCTAGTTTGACATTAGCCTCAAAAGACCCACCCCATTTAATACTAGCTCACTTCTGATTGGTAGTTCCTAAGCCCTGTGACCTTCAAACATGGTTACGGGGTTTTTCTACAATGCCATTGATATCACATGTTGTATATTTCAGCACGTCAGTGCTTTTAATACTCCAAAAACATGGAGAAACTGGGTCTAATACAACCCCCTAGAAAGTGCTGCAACCTATGTCACAGGCATTCACTTTCTCGGAATGAAAACATAAATACAAGACATCGCAGAAACCATACTACAGAGCGGGACAATTCCGTAACCTACAGGAAAGTCGACCAGCCCAACAAACTTGTGAAGGAAAATTTACCTACTCTATGTGTGGAGACTAATGTCGAACTAACGGAATGGAGTTAATGTTACCTCAAATGCAACCACATTTTAAGTCTAAATGTCAACTATAAGTGGGTATATAATTTTGTTTATGAAAAACTGTCAGTTCAACTTCATTTATTAAAAGATAAACACTCAGTTGCAAAACTACAAAAGGTTTTTAAATAAAACACACATGACAACATGCCACTTAGGAACCAATGCTTTACTCTAACTAACTTAAAACCTAGTTGCTTCAAACATATTATGAATAATTCACCAACTCTGTACAAACAGTGAAACTTTCAGTCATAATAGAGGTTAGGCAAGTTCCCTGTCTTTAGTTGTGGCAGTAACTTTTTTTTGCTTCTGACAGACTGTGGCTATTGCATTTCCTCCATTTGTAGACTGAAAGGATAACGTTTTGTTGCCCAGCTAATGAGCTGAATTAGTGGTGTCTTATGCAATTAAAATTAATCACATGTGCAACTGCTGATCTGTTTGTAACTGCTGCTTCCGTCAATGATGAACTGCATTTCTAATGTCATACTGTGAAAGCACTTCTGATGGCTTCCTTATGCTATCAATGCATGTGCTAATCGATATGCTGAGTCTGCAGTCTGTGTTAATTTGCCCCACAAGGGACAATGATGGACATTCTGTGTTTTTGTTGCCACAGAAGCAGAGCAACAATGAGGTGAAACTAAGGTGACCAAGATTACCATGATTACCAACAACAGTGAAAATAATTATACTAATAAAATCAATCAATCAGTCATCAGTAAGAAACCAATTCCACAATGAAGTCTGGATGCAGTGTATCTGCAACACTCTCTGTCTCACCCTGATTGTGCATTCTCTTAGTTTGTCCATTTGTAGATGTTCTCTCTTGCTTGCCAGCTTTCAATTTTTCCTCTCCAGAGCAGTTTTGAAAAGATTGTTATTTAACTTTTTTTCAGTAACAAGAAGGTGTTAACATTATATTCAAAGTTGTTGTTACTTTAACCCTTCCCCCTGTGAGAATTTTAAATAAAAAACATTACCTGTTTCCAAATTTTGTTTTAAAAAGATGCATCCTTATAATTCTATGAATCTCTACCACAAGACACTAGATCAAGGGTAAAAGAAGAAGTTTTTAGTCAGGGTCAGATTTTACAAAAATCCAATGTGTCAAACCCACGGACCATTGAGCAGACTAGAAAGCCTAAAAGCCAAAGCTTTTCTGCAACTGTCAAGTTGCTTAAAAGAAGTTTGTAATAAAAAAAAAAATCTTTTCTAAGTAACTACTTTGGGTTAAAAAACTTTACCGTGAAAGGAAGTAATCACTAAATATGAATGTGGCAAATAATTAACAGCTTTCTTTCCCCTTTGACCTTGAAAACAGGAGTTTTGTTGATACAGCGATGTGAAGCAAAGTGACGGATGAACATCATGGCACAAGGGTCATCATCATAATGTAGCAGGTCCTTTACAGAACGTCGCTCTTATCAGTCTGCCTGAAAGAAACTCGGTCTCCTGCCTCATGCTTTTTTATACTCAAGGAGTCACTTATATCCTGTGCCCATCTTTGTGTTGGTCGGCCCCTGCCCCTCCTTCCTGATACCATGCCCTCTGCTATAAGATTTTTCAATCCCGTCGTGGCGCTTGATATGACCAAAATATTTGAGCTTCAAAGACAGGATGCTGTTTATTAGCTAATCTCAATTGATGTTCAGACTTTTCAAGATGTCAGTATTTCTCCTATTTTTCATCCAAGATACTTGAAGAATCTTTCTATAGCATAAAAATCTCTATTCTCTTTTATAAGGAATGGGAGATAGTCCACGACTCACATCCAGTGTTGTTACAGGGAAGATACATGCTCTCAAAATTCAAATTTTGATCTCCTTGCTGGTGCTTAACCATAGACTTTTTAGGCTGTTTAATTTTTGCATTGCTATGGCCATCCTCTTTTTAATTTCTGTCAAACATTCTCCACTGCTATTTACTACAGAGCCAAGATTTTCAAAGTTTTTGACATTTTTAATTTATTCACCATTTATTGCTATTTTTGGGTGACAGCTAGTTCTATCTGTGGACTTTATTTTCATTCTCTTTAAATTCAAGAACAGATTTCGATCTTCACTGTGCTTTTGTACATACAATATTAAATTTTCTATTCCGTTTTCTAAATTTCCTAAAACATAGAGACGAACGATGGAAAGCAAACTGAATGCTGCATCTCTGACAAGGAAAACTGCATTGAAGATTGCACAGGACAGGAAGGTATGGAAAGTCCTCTCTGAAGCCTCATGTGCCACAGGCATAAACAGAACTGACTGACTATAACACATTATCATTACCTGAGAACCCTTATATTTGATCAGTTCTTTTAGTCTCTCCTCAATATAAAAGATCCCATCTTTGTTGTAGTAGCCAATATCACCTGGAAAACAAAAAGATATATAAAGTCAAGCTGAGCTGGGTTAGGAATCAACAACACAGAACTCAAGACATTTCCACAAACAATGTCCCCATCTTTAGCAGCCAGCACAGATTCCAATCTGGATGGTTCCAGTACAAGTCTGACTATATGTCTGTCTTACCTTCCCTCTATACATTGAGTGTTAGCCACCCCCCCCCCCCCCCCACCCCCCAGATTCACTATTCTCTATTTAACTTCTGCAAGCTATGATTATCTAATCCTTCTTCCTCTTGTCTGGCATGCATCAGTTTCCATCCAAGTGGTGTAAAACCAGCCAGTCTACCTGTACATTTCCCAACACATTTGCCTGCTCTAGCAAACAGATCCAAAGGACACTCGCTATCCACAGTCTCTGAAGCAATGGTCATTCTGCACAAAGCATGATTGTCTCCACTGTTATCAACATGCACTGTTGGCAACGGTGGAGAGCATGACATGTGCATGCAGCTGGTTCTCAAGCCAGCAGAAGCTGCAGTGACTGCCTCCACCTCCATTTTCAAGCAAGATGTTCTGGTAAAAAATGCTATTTGCAGGACTGAATGTTCAATGTTTAATGTTGAATTAAAAATCAACATCATACTTGACATTTTCTGTCCTACGAAATATCACGTGACTTCTCTTCTTGGTTGTCTTTCCTTAACAGAAAACTATTAATTTTGTTGGGTTGGTTCCACCTCACAGCTATGCGTTTTGGAAAAATAATTCTTATCCCAAGGATAGAAACCAGACCAGTCTTGGAAGACAAGGACACTCACTTCTGTGCTACTGCAGTGCTTCAACTGAGGCACACCAAGAAATAATTGTGGCAAAAAGTACGCTACTGACAATCTATCCAGTGCTGCTTACACAAAATTAAGGATATTGAACACAACATACAATGTAGCTTGTATTTAATCAAACTACCATAAGCAGCTGAGAGTGCCACACCTTAAATAGTTATTTAAAGAACTAACAAACTAGGCATAATTTACCAAAACTGTTCAAAAACCGCATGAGAAAATATATTAGCAGTTGACAAGTTAAAAGTGAATTTATTTACACACCAATGCTTGACAAATGTGAATTAATAAATTCTGCCACGGTATATTTTGTTGCATAGTTAATTAGCATTTAACATAACAAATGAAAATCACTTCAAAATTATGTGTCATATTGGTTGATGATTATAAAAACTCACACACCCCAGAATAACATATCTTTGCTTTTATCAAGTCATCCCATGTGAGATGCATTTTTGTTGTTGTTATTTGAAGCCCCACCCTGGCTCCTGCCAGGGGCCATGAATATAGCCAGGGCATGGAAATGATCTAGTCACAGATATGGCCTAATGGCTGAAAGGGGTTTCTGGGACCTCTCCACGGGTGATGCTTATCCATATGACGGCACTTTGTGTCACTGGGTGTTTATCGTATGATGTCCTGGTGGGGTACAACTACCAACCAAACAGCTTTTGATTATAAATTAGCAGGGTTCCGGTATATTTTCTTTCTCAAGTGTGTGCTCCATCTATGTTTTTAAATGATTCATGTTGTTTTTGTCATAAAAATGCAAGTTTTCCTCTTCTGTGCATACATTATTTAGACTAAACCTGTGGTACTTTTACTTGTTCTCTGATTTGTATCTGAACGTGACCACTTCATCTGCAAATAATATTTCTCAAACCATAAACTCTATTTTTGCCACATCCAATGACATCCTTGCTCATTTGCAAACTTTTCTGGAATAATTAGTGATCATGTGATCAAGAGCATATCACAGATTTTCTGTCCAGTGTATTCAAGTATGTGATAAAGCGGGATCAAATGGACACTGCAAAAGAGCAGATAGGGAATCCATACACTGAAAGACTAAATGGTTGTATGACAATGCTCACTAACTGAAACAACCTGCAACTTTGCAACCATTTAACTCTGTCGGTCCCCGACAGGTGTTACCATTATTTGTTACATTCTAAAATGTGTTAGTAAAAGTAACACATGACTGGCTCTGAATGGGTTAAAATAATAACACTATAGGACAAAACTGAAGTAAAAATTTGAATAGAATGAGTTAATGTACCACGGTACTAGATCTTTTTATTCGTGTTCACCAGCTGTAAACAGCATAAAGTTCTGGTGTTCGTCCACTTCTGGAATCTAGGAAGTGGGTCTATACTTGTTTTTAACATAATGGGAGCCCAGAACCCACCGGGTACCAGATGAATGAGGAATCAAGAGTTAAGAAACAAATACTGAATAAACAGTAACCATGAAATGCAACAGTGAGTTGCTTAGTACTGAAAAAAGTTGATCTTTTAAAGTAAGTGCTACAACTTCTAGTTGCTAACATTAAAAAAAAAAAAAAAAAAAGTCTACCTGTATGTAGCCATCGATCTGGTTCAATCATGTCATCAGTCGCCTTCTGATTTTTGTAGTATCCTTTCATAACCTGTGGACCTCTCACACAGTACTCGCCTTTCTCTTCTGGTCCGAGTACTCGGTTTGTCTCTATATCCACTATCTGTTGAAATAATTTGAGACAAAAAAGGTAAAGCAAACTTGTCATGATTCAGACTTGTGTAGGCGTCTAATCACTTTAGGCCATGAGTGCAGGGACTGGCCAGTTGGTGCTGCAGAATCAGAATTTCAACAAATGATTCATGACAATTCCCACCAAGGTGATGTGATTATCTATACAGATGGCTCTGTGTTGAGAAGCAGATGAAGTGCATGGGGGTTCTCAGCAAAAGTGAATGGGTGTCGCTTAATGCAGCAAAGCCTGGCATATGGTATCACACCATCTAGTTTGAGAATGGAGGTGGAGGCAGCAACTGCTACCTTCCGCTGGACTGAGATTAGGCTGTAGACACATTTCATAAGTGAAACTGTCTCACAGAGTAGTTGATGAAAGGTGGAGACAGGCATGCTCTGTGCAAAGTGGCATGCAAAGGTTCCATATATAGTTAACATCTCCCCTGTGTGGGTTCCGGGCCCCATTGTGGGGAAAACAAGAATAGACCCACTGCCTCCCCAAAAGCATGTTGTAAGAGTCAACTAATTGGGGAGCTTCCTTTGAAGACGGAGTGCGTCTGCCGGAGAGGCAAGGAACCAACAGTCTGTATTCAAGAGAATGAGATCTGTAAAACTGATGCACACGCAACACTCAGGTTCTGGAGCAGGACTGCAGTTCAGTAGTAGACGAGCAACCAGAACCTTCCGCCAGAGTTTACAGCTGGTGAACGCGAAGAAGAAGAAGAAGTTAACATCTTTGGATATTTTCTCCAGGTCATGCTGGTGTGTTGGGAAATGAGCAGACAGATAAACTGGCGAGTTCTTCACCACTTAGTGGTGAACTGATGTATGACAAGCTAGATGTTGTCAGGGCCCTGATGTTGTGGAGGCACAAATAGATCATTGTGGTCTGAGGATAATGGCGCAATGAGGAGTTACCAGGGGATCTGGCCGACACTCAACACCCAAGGAAAGGGCGATACAGATAAAGAATCAGACAGTTACTGGTTACATTGTAACTGAAATTCTTCGCTTGCTACTGAAGAAGGGGACGAAGCACTTATGGGAGTGTCCCGAGTGCTGTGATCTCAATTCAACATGCAATGCATGCAAATATAAATCATAATACTAAGTTACTACAACTAAACAATTCAGCCATATTTTCTGTTTCAACACTGAGGAATATAGAGAACATTTGCTGCCAGCCCCACATTTCCATTTACTAATTGGATTTTGAAGTCTGATGTTCGTATCACACCAGCCACATTTACTTCCCAAAAACATTTACTGGTACCCACTTTAGGCACAATCAACCTGGGAAACCAGATCATTAAAAAAAATATGTTAAAAGTTCATTTCAACATATTACGCCCAGGATAACAAACATGCAGGCCAATGCACTACCACAATTTCATTCATTTTATAAGCAGTGGTTCCCAACTTTCTTTTTTCTTTTTTCTTTTCATATTTCCAACTTGATAGAGATTCAATTTCTTTTGCAGAGCCTCACAGCTTGCTGTAAACTATGCTTTAAAATTTCTATGCAGAGTGATATTTCCTTTTTTATTATTTGTCTTGTAAGTTTTGTTTCTTAATCTCTAATTTAAATCAGTTACATTTTATTTATCTTCCTGGAGGAAGTTCACATGGACTCCTAATGGCATCCACTGCTATAAAATGTCATTCCCGGGCCCATTTCGATACGGAAAAATGTTGCTTGGAAGCACCAATCAGCCAGCTGTTTGCTTTTACATTTTAACTTCCATGGGAATGTTAATGTCTCTAATATGCCAGCTATCTGATCCATTATCCCAGGATCAGGAGGTAATATACCATCTTATCTGTTTTTGTGACAACTGGAAATATCTATGGACAGAGAGACAGAGGAAAACAATTAGAGAAGATTTCTGGCAGAGTTTCATCAATGCATGGCAGTGTGACAGCCATACAAATTTATAGATGCTGTTTAAGACTGCAAGATCTAGAGAAATCACATAACCCATGTCAGTTAATGATGATAGAACAAATATACACAGTCCATGTAACGAATGAAACCAGCTCTCATAAACCAGAAGCAGACATAACAACTTAAGAGCACAGAACCTTTGGTTGATCGTTAAGCCTGAATTTAAATAATCACATGGCAATACAAACTTCTCATATAACATTAACATGTTGTTCAACACAATGTTTTCCCGTAACCAATTTAAATAATGCAGACACAAACAATACATTGCACAATTTATTGCCAGGCATATGTGGTTGTATCTTGTCACGTGCGCTACTACACAGTTACATCAACATAAAATAAAGTTTTAAAAAACCTGAATAAATCCAACCGTAATGAGAATAGTTTCTTTTGATGCATCGTGTTTGTCTAGTCACCGGAGGTTCATTGTAGTCACATGATTTATCTGGGTAACTTAGATTTACAATATATTGTTTCTGCTTATACATGTTGCATAATCTGGAATTAATAAAACATACTTTGCCTGTCATAAAAGTAAAGTAACAATAATTTATTTTTCAGCAAGTTTAAAAATAGCACAACTCATTGCAAGATACTTGTAACTGAAGGTATTAACAGGCTGAGGTATTAACAGGCTGTGTTTATCCACATGCCAGCAGAAACAAAATGACTTCTTTTTTTTAAGTCGTGAAACCTGGGCAACTTTACTGCCAATTCTGTTTAGTTATATTACCCCCATTGCACTGAACCATTCAGTCCACAAGTGCATGGATCCCCTTCTAAAAAAATCCCACAGCGTCTAGCTGCTGATGACACCGCATCTCTTGTCTACTTTTTCTTCTTTGGATTCCTGCATAGTGCTTTTGTCTGGCGGCACTCCTTTTAACATGTTGTTCTTGCAGTCTGGTCAGGGCTGCAGATTCAGTTATAACTTGGTTCACACAATGTCTTATTTCTTGTACTGCATTCAGTGTACCAGTCTGGTCCATTAGCTTTACCTGTAAGCCTATCAGCTTACTCATATCTTTGCACACCTGTGTGCCCTGGCACAAATATGAAACTGATATGTGTCAACTCTGACTGCCTAAGAGTCTCCAACCACTTTACTGGTATATTAGAAAGCTGAAGTCAAGGATAGTTTTCAGGCAGAAATTAATTTTCATGATTTGTTACCTTCCCTTCCGTGTTCGAAACCAAGTGACCAATTGAGCCAAGTGTGGAAGTGAAGTCAATATTTACAACAGGACTTGTCTCGGTTAATCCATAACCTGTTTAACCAAATGGGGAGATTAGTGTGGAAACACTGAGAATATTAATCACTTGTTAAACTGACAGCTACACACTACAATTGGTAATAAAGTGAAAATGCTGGTGTCAGAATCAAATATTTATTTTCGGGTTTTTTCCCACAAAATTGTGAAGTGGTCCAGGTGAGTATCAACTATTTTATATCAGTCTCTTGTTTATTGTTTAGGTGGGAAACAAGAAGACTGAAGAAATGAAGATATTCAAGAGAAACCCGATGACAAAAGCAGATAAGAGCTGCCAACAGCGTTGGATTTATTTCTGTATTTTTTTAAACATGCACAGAATAGAACTGAGTGGAGGATTAACTGCAAGCCATATACGATGTAAATGTGGCACAACAAGTTGATGATGATGAAGATCTAATGTTCAATGAACAGAATATTATTATTTGTCAGTGTCACTGGAAAATATTACAATCAACTGTGACTCAGTACAGATATCCATCAATACATTCAGGCATTTGTTTTTCAAATGCATTTACCTTTCATTCCATATCTTTGGTAGTTCTTTAACTTTAAATGACATGTTAAAACTGAAATAATACAATTAAAAATACTTATTCTTCTTCTATGTTCACTGGCTGTAAGCTCTGGCAGAAAGTCTTGGTTGTTCCTTTATTTAAACTTAGGCTTTGTGCCAGTGCCTGAGTTGTGTATGTACATGCATTTTACTGGCTTATTTATGTGCAGAGTTTTGTTCCCTGCCACTTGGGCAGGTGCACTCTGACTTAAATGTCTATTACAACATTATTATTAGAGTGGCAGTAGATCTTTTCTTGTTTTCATCACAATGAGGTCATTTAATATAAATAACTAAACTTTGAGACAATATAATTTAGATTTCCATATTTTTTTTAAAGCTTTTAAAAGATGTTTTTGCACTGACATTGTGACTAATAATTTCTTTAACATTAAATAGTCTTTAACGGTAATAAATATTAGAAAACAAATGCAAACCTTGGTTGAGCTTCACACGATTGCTGAATCTTTGTAGAAATTCATTTGAGATTTCAACACCCAGTGGTGCCGCACCACAAATGACTTTCCTCAGTGATGTCAGATCATATTTGGACACAAGTGGATGTTTTGCCAGAAACACAATTATTGGAGGTACCAAGTGAGCAAATGTTATCTGTTTGAAATGCATTTGAAATAATCTTCTGTCTCATTACAGTGTGTAATCTAATTTATTTTTAATTTCTGAGACACAAATATCCACAAAAACAATTATACAGGTGCCGTGATAAAGGACACCTTTCCACACCTTCAAGTATATTGGGCATATAGGGCTACACCTACATTTCATAGACCGATTGGCACTCTGTGGGTGATGTGGTCAACATCACGCAAGCCACCTTTATTTCCCAGGACTATTTTCTGGTACCCACTCAAGGCTGGTCGATCTAAAAGCCAGGGTCATTTCTGAAAAAAAAGTAATGACTTTCTGATTTGCAGGTGAGCGGTAAGCCGCTACATCATGGCAGCTCTCAGTAATCTAGCGGTGTGACATTTTTATCTCTGGTAATCATGCAAATTACTTCTTTATCTGGGCCTTGAGTAGACCCAACCTTGTGAGTCCAGTAAAAGTAAGCAAAATAAAGACCCAAGTTCATACTCTGAGATGCATAAGGTTTAACAAGTTATCTGGCACTTGTTTCAGTTAGACTGATAATCAGTTAGTGGCTCCTTGTAACAATGGGTCTCAAGTCTTCAGTCTCGGTAGACCGAAGCACCAAGGACTTCACCTAAAGATACATCAGGTGACTGTGTTGCCCCACGAGCCTGAATCTGCCATCCAAAGCTAACTCCTCACCGAGGAAGAAAACTGTTTTTTGTGTGTGTGTGCCAATCACCTACTAGAATTTTATACCTATTACAATGTATGATTGTCAACTGTTGAAAAAAAAAAAAAAAATATGTCACGAAATGACCTCAGTGGTCTCAGAAGTTATATTGTGTTTAATAATTTCTTATTTTCAGAGTAGGACAAAGAATTAAAAGCAATAGACACTGAGCCTAAAATAGTTCTAAAACCACTACAAGGGATTTGAGAATTGTTTAAACTGTGTTTCCAATCTCTAGCCAGACAAAGCAACCTTGCTTTAGGTAATATTACCTTGGCTAGGAATTCCTTTCTCATGCCCATGTCATATAATTATCTCCTGCCCAGTCTGTAGAGGCGAGTAAAGGGGGAGATAGCTTCGTATCACACCTGATTAGCTCCCCTGAACCCGGCTTTAGTGTCATAAAAAGTTACATAACACACACTGAGGTGCTCCTTTTGAACAGGATAGATCAGGGGAATTAAGTGGTCCGGTAGACATTTCTAGACAGGCTGGCGTCCAGCGTCTGAAGTTTTCACACATGATAGTGAAATTCTCCAGAGAGCAGATGTTTGGCAATTAGGAATGTTTAATCTTGGTCAACGTCGTACTGTAGGCCGTTCACTGTGAGTGACAGGCCCATTGATAGCTAGGTTGATCTGCTAGGTACCTCAGAGGCGGGGCTTAGGTCATCTCCTTGAGGGTTGGGTAGAACCTAGTAGAGGGTGGAGTTTACCCTTGCAGACAGATAGAGGTATTAATAAGACAAGCCCTGGAATTTCTGTCATAATCGCTGTGACAGGCAACAAACAGGTCGACCTTAGAGGTAATTATAATGGTTTGATTCTAGTTTGGCGATAGCTGGAAGTTTCCAGCTCCCATGTGGGTGAGGATCAGTCTTTTCTACAAAAAAGAAATAGAGGGTCATCACGGTCACGAGACTAAATTGTGTTAGAACTCGGCCAGCTGGGAAACAGGTGGGAACCAGGGAACCAGGTGGAAGGACCAGGAGAACTTGGCGGAAAGATGGGAACAGCTAAGAAGGGACTCAACACGAGGACTCTCAGAGGTTCCACTTTCTAAAGTTATGTAACATGTATTTATGTAACTAAACACCACCATTATCATTCAGTCGAATCTTAGGTGCTCAGTTATCTAGCTGAAGCATCTCATTATCACCATACCATCACTATCTATTATAACAATAATGATGACTAATGTCATACTCTGATTGCTAGGTTAATAAATCAAATATATGGTCTTATCCTGCATCAGTTTTTGTAATTCCAAATGTGTCTGTTCTTACACGTTTAATTAAACTGTTAAGATAGAATAGCATTTGGTGGGAGCTCATTAAATAATAAAATTTCTTTACCAAGAGAAGGTCGACGGATTGGGTCAACTGCCGTGTCTAGTGAATCATTCAAGATAATAATATATAGACATCTAAAACCCATTTCTTTCTCTTGTGGGTACCAAGTTCAGCTAAAGTTAAATATAAATAACGAGCCAATATGGCTGTTTTCTTGGATATCCAGGACTTTGTCTGAGAGCAACATAGCCCAGATAATAGTTCAGTTAATCTGGTGGAGGGGATGTGTTGAGAGGAAATTCCCTACTCCACATATAAATCATTTAAACCCAAATCTAGAGAACCCACGACCCGGGACGTCACACTAAAAGTGTTGTACTTTCCAAGGGAGTGGGCCGTAACGTCACACTTCTTTATCTGGGCCTTGAGTAGACCCAACCTTGTGAGTCCAGTAAAAGTAAGCAAAATAAAGACCAAGTACATACTCTGAGATGCATAAGGTTTAACAAGTTATCTGGCACTTGTTTCAGTTAGACTGATAATCAGTTAGTGGCTCCTTGTAACAATAGGTCTCAAGTCTTCAGGCTTGGATAAGATAAACAAAACATTTTTTTTTTATTTATAAAAGTAAACGTAATATTTGAATAACTAATGCACATGTTATACCAAACTTACTTTTCTCTCCTGTAAACATCTGAGAAATATCTCTGGCTCAAATTTGGGCAGATATGAGATTGTAGCCCCACCCAGGAGAACTGTGAACTGGACTACAATCATGCCATAAATGTGATACAGTGGTAGCAGACCTAAACAGCGATCTTCTGGGGTCACTGGTGCGCTATTTCTGAAAAGATATCAGTGAATCTTAAGTGAAATATTTGCAAGGAAATCATTATCAGCTCCCCTTCTGCCGCTAATTGTCATAAGGAGATACAGTTTGTGGTCCTTTGCTCGATGGGTGGCACAGCTGTGGCTTGTCTTACTATTGTGGTCCTTTGCTTGATGGGTGGCACAGCTGTGGCTTGTCTTACTATTGTGGTCCTTTGCTCGATAGGTAGCACAGCTGTGGCTTGTCTTGCTATTGTGGTCCTTTGCTTGATGGGTGGCACAGCTGTGGCTTGTCTTACTATTGTGGTCCTTTGCTCGATAGGTGGCACAGCTGTGGCTTGTCTTACTATTGTGGTCCTTTGCTCGATGGGTGGCACAGCTGTGGCTTGTCTTACTATTGTGGTCCTTTGCTCGATGGGTGGCACAGCTGTGGCTTATTGTACTATTGTGGTCCTTTGATCAAGCATTGACTACTGACTGATCTATCCCAGTGTGTCGGTGTTGTGACAAGGCTATTATGCTTACTACTTTTCTTCCATAGTACACAGTGGATTTAAAAAATTTAATGATAAGAACTGTCCACAAAATTGAATTTAAAGTTTCTGGTGAATATTTGATGACTTGCACTTTATAAAATGAAAAATATGCAATAAATCCCTGTCAGGGGTAGAAAGAGTGGATGGGACTTAATTGTGAAAGCGGGAAGAGAGCTTGGCATATGACATAACCACGTCCATAAAAATAGAGGCTGAGGCAGTAACTGCTGCACTGGGATGGGTGGAGAAAATCTCAGCCAAATATATTATCACAGTATTGGATTTGCAAAGCATGCTCAGGAACGCAGAGATAGGTTTTCTTCAAATAGAATGGGTCACATCAACAGAGGTTGCAGGTAGAAAGAGTCACACTGATATTTTGCCTGAGCAATTCAGGTGTGTTTGGGAATAATCATGCAGATAGGTTGGCTGGATTGGTCCCACTTGGGGGTGTACTGCAACTGCACAAAACAAGGCAAAAAATATAATAGAAGATACTGAAAACCTGTACCTGGAGAGAATGTTGCAGCCGGAAGTGTCTGTAGGTTCTGGGTGCAACTCAAGACTCAGGAGAAAGGCAAAATGAGTATTTAACCAAATGGTTAGGAGGAAGTCGGAGCTGACATGGGCTTGTCCTGAATGCTTTGATGTTGAATCTTTACCCAGGACAACCCAGCTGATACTTTTCCTTCAAAAACAATTCTAGGAAAATTGTCAGGTACTACCAATTTTATGAGGCTAATTTGAGACCAGAGTCATAATTATAGAAAATTTTTTTACATCTGCTGGGAATTGATCCCAAATTACTGCATTAATGAGCAAGTGCACTAACTACTGTACCAGCTGTGATGAATTTAGAGTAACATTTCATCAATGTAATGTTTTTCATAAAAATGTTCATATTTTATGTTACAACAATAAGTGTGTATGCAACAAATCTACTATGACATATTATACAGCCATTTTGTTTCACCTACATAATTTGCATACAGTCCGCCAGACAGTTGTAGTGGGTGAGCATGACACCTTTGGGAAGTCCTGTGGTTCCACTGGAGTAAGGGAGAATGTACACATCCTCCAGTGGGTTGATCTTCACTTCAGGAAATAATGAGCCATCATCATCCAATAACTTCTGAAACGGTTGAAAGCCAGGAGCTTCCCCAAAGACAAACAGATCCTGCAATCATCAAATCAAAAAATAATTGAGACCTGAACCATTTATTATCTTATAATACACTGCCATGGACAGCAAGGGTGGTTGGTTTCCGAAGTGCCACGAAGATAGCCCAACTCATAAATCATAACTCATAACTTAGCAAACATGGATGATATCTCAACTCTCATATTCCAACTCATAAATCATAATTCATAACTCAGCAAACAGGGCTGATATCTTGACTCTCAAATTCCAACTCATAAATCATAACTCATAACTCAGCAAACATGGCTGATATCTTGACTTTCATATTCCAACTCATAAATCATAACTCAGCTAACATAGTTGTCTAAATGTTATGAAAAATACTCAAAACATAACTTGTTCTTCTTCTTCTTCTTTATCATCATGTGTCTGATTGCCATAAATGTGGTATGCCTGTTTACAGCATAGGTGTCATATTTACACCTTTTAGTGGACACATCTGTCTTCATCAGGCATTTGTTATCCGGATTAGCCTTCCCAGAGTCATAACATTTAATGATAATGATTTCTATCAGATGGGCAGTGCCTAGTATTTCATGAAGATAAACCAACATAACAGTCTATTTTAGTCTATTTTTTAGTTTAAATGTTTTGAAACAAGCTCAGACAAACATTAATGATTAATGGCAGCAGGAATACATTTCTGTTTTTTTTTAATTCAAAGATGTCATTGACTGGTTGCAATGACTCTGTCAGGCTCTCGTCAACTGCAATCTTCTCAGGTGAAGTGACTGATAATTGAACATCTTGAGCATGAAACAATAAATGTTTGAAATGTCACACAGCTGAGTCTTGCGAAATATTTATTGGTTCCAATACCTGGTTCTCTGCCAGTGTACTTAAGGTAAACTGACTAGGACGAGCAACATCGGCCACTTATAACATTATGAGTAACTGCAATGCAAGTAACTCCAGAGAAAGTAGTAGGGTGAACCCAAAACCAGTGACAGATGGGAGTAAGACGACCACTGAAGACAAGAAGAAAGCAGAAACATTTCAATCATTATTTTGCCTTGGTTAACAGTGCAGGTAAACTCACATAATTGGATAGAACACAGCTCTCTCAATTGAAGAAACAAGAGAGAGCTCCAACAGCCAGCGACTCCCTTTTTGAAGAGGAATTTAGCATGGACAATTTAGAACAAGCCCTGAGAGAATTAAAACCTAGAAAATTCCCAGGTCCAGATAAGATCCACAACAAAATGCTGCTTGATCTTGGCTGGTCTAGGGGAGAAGTAGTTCTCGGGGTAATTAATAAGACATGGAGATCAAGCAAACTTTCAAAGGCATAGAGGAATGCATATATTGTCCCCATACTTAAAAGCCTCTAGATGACCCCAAAAGCTACCGCTGATATCCTTACCATCATGTTTGGGCAAAGTTGCAGAAAGAATGATAAACAGGCGCTTATATTGGTTCTTAGAGAGTTCTGGTGTTCTATACCATGAACAGGCAGGCTTCAGAACCAACAAACAGCTGCACAGAAGACCAGCTGTTCAGACTGACACAAAGAATACATGACAGCTTCCAGAATAAGAAGCATACAGTGGCCATCTTTGTCGACCTCCAGCAGGTCTATGACAGAGTATGGAGAAAAGGTCTCCTGATGAAGATGATGAGCATAGGAATACATGGCAGATTGTATGACTGGGTGAAATACTTTCTGATAGATAGAACAGTCCAGGCTAAGATACACAAAGCAATCTCAACAGTTTGGAGGAGGCCTTGCCACAAAGCTATGTACACTATTTTTAATCTTTATCAATGACTTGCCAGAACAAATCAAGGCCGAAAAAGCCTTGTACACTGATGATCTAGCAATATGGCAGAGTCATGAAAATGTAGAAAGCGGAGCCCAAAGACTAAATGGAGACCTTAGACTGCATAAGTACTGCCAAAGATGGATACTCAAGGTTAACTACACAAAGAGGGTCTAGACAATCTTTACCAAAAGCCATCAAGTAGCATCGAAGAATTTTAACCTGAGGCTAGACAGACACCAAGTGATGAAAGAAGAGCATCCTACATACCTTGGACATACACTTGAATGGCAGCTCAGCCTCAAGAACCATATTGAAAACGTCAGGAATAAGGCATTGAGGCGGTTACAGTTATTGAAAAGACATGCAGGTACAGCTAGGAGATCAGACAAGGAAACTCTGAGGGGCTTTTATCTTGGATATGTTCGCTCCGTAATAAAGTATAACAACTGACTGCTTACAACCTGCTCCAAAACTAACCTAGAGACTCTTGACAGAGTACAAAATAATGACCGCTGATTAATCAGCAGAGCTTTGCGGTCTACTCTAACTGCTGCATGTGAAATCCATATATATGTGGAACCCCTCGAGTTGCGGAGAGAAAAAGCCACTTTAGAAATTTATGAAAGATGCGTTAGAAAGAATCGTAATCATCCTAATAGACACCTTGTAGAAAACTGGGAATACAAACAAAGAATAAAGCACAAATCGGTTTTACATTCTGTACATGAAAAACAAGACAGATACCACCTCCCAGAAAGACGTCAAGGCATTCAGAAAGTTGCAAGAAACCTACCATCACATGCTCGCTTTAAAGCTCTAGAAGTCCAAATGAAATTGGTAGACAAAGAAACCAAAAAGCCCGACGCAATCGCCCTTATGAACTTTTCGCTAAGGGCCACTGATTCTTACGCCAAAGAATGGATAAATGTTTATACTGATGGATCTGCATTCAAAGCTACCATTAAAGCAGGTTACGGAATCTACATAGGTTATCCTGATGGATCTGTTGGAGAGATTTTTGATGCATGCGGGGAATTCTGCTCAAATTATGAAGCCGAAAAAATTGCACTGGAAACAGCAGTATACCACTTAAAGACTGTAATGGATGTTTCCCCTTAAAAGGCCCAAAATAGTGTCATCTTCACAGATTCAATGTCTACTCTTCAAGTTCTGGAGGGCAGTGAATGCTGCAGAACTGACATAGCCACAATAATTCTGAAAGCTGATCAGCTCATTACCTCAAACAACATCAGAATAGTGATGCAGTGGATTCCAGGCCACTCCGGCACATAAGGTAATCGCAGAGCTGACAGAATGGCAAAGAAAGGAGCAACACAAGAATAACCACCTACAGCGACAACCCTGCAGACAGCAAAACACTTATAAGAGCAATAAACAAAGAGACTTGGCTGAACAGATGAGCTATGGGAGATACTGGAAGAGGGGTCCAGCTGAAAAAATAAAATGGGTATTAAAGGCTAAAGATGTATGTATCCACACATGCTAATGCAGATTTCATAAAAATATACATGTAAGTGTTTGTATGAATAACTGATAAGGAAATACTGACCTTAACTTGGTTAGGAAACTCAGTATTTGCCAGTGCTTCAGTGGCAGTTGCTGTTAATCCAGATGCTGCTACCAATATCACAGCTCCACAGTGATTCAGTTGCATGGCTAATTCTCCTATAAGACATAAAAACAAAATTTGGAGAAAATAAAATGTAATTTTGTGTTTTCTTATTCGGCCGAACAGTTGGAAGGTTGGGCTCTTAAGTGGGAGACCCGGGTTCAAATCCTTGGTAATGCTGGGGACCTTTTTCTATCAGAGGCAAAATAAAATGCTCACCTGCACAGCTGTGGCGACAGCACTAGCCATGCTGCTGTAAATCTTCAGGCTCAAAGACCCCCTGCCTATATGGCAAAAGTGGTAAAATAAAGGCAGTAATTGGCAGTTTTGCAGTTTTCTTATTCTTATATCTGCTACCTTCTGCACCCGCTCTTTCCTTTTTTTTTTTTCACCTCAAGTAAACACGGATCCCAATAAACTCACGCCATGCAGCTCAATATTTTCTTTTTCAGTACATTGTTTCCTACATAATAATTTTCATGTGTTTAAAACATAAACATAAAACTACACTCGAAATATTGCAGCTTTACTCTCACTTTGTCCCTGAATTATTATTATTATTCCTCATCCTGCTCTTCCTCTTCTCCTTCTTATTTTTCATCCACCACCTCCTCCTTTAGTGTTCTTCTTTTCTACTTCTATATTCACCCTAGGAACAGATATTGGGACATCGAGGTTTACAACTAAGCTGTGATATCTCTGCATTTTTGGGCCCAATACCTCCCTGTGTCACAGACCCTTAATTAGTCACCATACATGATATGCCTGCTAGGGGGAAGTGAGTCTCTTTTTTTGCCAAAATGGGGCCTCAGAAGCAATAATAAGAGTCTCTAAATATTGCAATTCAGATTCTGATTTTAAAATTTCAGTTTTAAGCTAAATATTCATTCATAATTTGAAATGAGTTTAGACAAATTACAACTGTTAGGTTCTGCAACAACAACAACAAAACAAATGATAATAATATAAAAGTATGCTTCCAGCTCTGAGTTGCAGTTACCTGCAGACTTCATTATAAAGCTTATATCTGTACATGTTTCACAGAACTTCTATGAGTAATTATTGTAGTTACAGGGTTTCACATTGTGAGCAATGCTCTTGGCAGGCAAACAGCCTCTCTGTGAAGGGGCATGGAGCCATATTAAATGAAACCTAATGCTATGAAGTTTATTCTCTTGCTTTCACACAGGCTTTAATCAACTCAGAGAGAGAAAAAGACAGAGAGAAAGAAAAAGAGAGAGAGAGAGAGAGAGAGAGAGAGAGAGAGAGAGAGAGAGAGAGACAGAGAAAGAGAGAGAAAGAGGGAGAGAGAGAGGGGGGGGGAAAGGAAGAAGAAAACAAGAGACCAGAGACAGAGAGGTCGACTGAGACAGAAGACAGAGAGAAAGAACAGAGCTAGTGAGAGACGGGGAGGAGAGACAAACATACAGACGAGGGGACAGATGAACGGACAGACATATACAGGCAGGCAGGCAGGTGAACAGGCAGACAGAGTAAACTTTACAAAACATGGGGGGGGGGGGCACACAATATTACCTTTACAAATTTACTTACCTGCTGTAAATGTTGGATTAGCAGAAGAATACCACATGCCATTAGCAGCACAGGCCAGCATGAGAACAGTCACATCAACGGTGTTGGGAGAAATTGACAGAAGTATATCTCCCTTTCCATAGCCCAGCCTATGAAGGCCGCTAGCCACCCTGATTGACTTCTCCTTCAACTGGGCATATGTGTACTGCTTTCCAGTCAAAAAATCCTCCTGTTTAGCAAAATAATCTAAATAATTAAAGTGGCAAATTATTATACTTATTATATTATTATATTACTGTAGCATGCGCCTAATGAGGTTCAGTAAAACAACGGGGAGACTGTGTGGTCCCGAGGTATGGCATCTGTCTTGAGTGCTGGCGGTCCCCGGTTCAGGTCCCAATGAAGGCTGAGATTTTTTCACATGAACTTTGAGTAATTTCCCCTGGTCTCTGTTCAGTAAGATCGGATGCCCATGTGTATTGTTGCGCATGAAAGAAATTCCTTGGCAGTTGGAAATAGACAAGAGTAGCCCAATGGCGCTGCCTGGCCAAAATTTGGAGTTAAAAATATACCCAAAGTATTTCAGGATCCTCGCCGCTGCTACGGAGTTTGTGCACTGCGCTGAGATTCTTCAGACTCGGTTGAGTTAGAAGTAGAATGGAACACTTATGGGTGACTACCCTTATGCCATCATGCTGATCCATTGTTTAACCATAAACAGTAAAATAAGCCAGCAATAAACCGTGCAGTCTATTGCTTGTGTTTTCTTTGTTCAAATAATAGAAACAGTCTATTACTTACAACATTAATTTAATAATCAGTACAACAGAAATTTACATCATTATTTACTATACTGAGGAGCGGCTGGCCGAACGGTTAGAACACTGAGATCTCAGTGGGAGAGCCTGGTTTGAATCCTCGGTAAGGCTGGGGATTTTTTCTGTCGGAGGCAAAATAAAATCCTCACCTGCACAGTCGTGGCGACAGCACTAGCCATGCGGCCGTAAATCCTCAGGCTTAAAGACCCCCCTGCCTACACCGCAGAAGTGGTATAATACAGGCAGTAATTGGCAGTTTTTAGCATTTTGGGAGAAATATGAACTTCAAAGAAGTGATCCATTGCAATATTAGGTCTACGACATTAGAAAACTTACTGGGAGTAGATGGCTCTAGAGAACTAGAGGGAAGGATTAAAAGTTATATCACAAGAACAGAGATTAGCTTTTGCAATGTTAATATATGTTAAGACAGAATAATGGTATTCCAGATAAGCAAATAAAGAATGCACAATTCATTGTTTGAAAGTACACTTAAATACATTCAACTTAATAATCTATGCTTCTACAATCATACATAATTAACATGTAAGCTGTGCAATATTGGATAACCAAACATTACTAAAGGTAAAGGTAGAGTCAGGAGATATGAACCAGCGTCATTGCACACGGTTATAAACCATAAGTGCTCTGCCACCAGTAGTAACAGCTGATAAGAAACTGTCCGCCTGTGTCGCCCTTCGCACGTAACTCTGTGGCTACAGTGACGTACCTCTATTTACCCCAGAGTGTCACTCTGATACCCATTTCCTAGAGGCTGGGTGAACCCCGGAAATCACCCGGTTTCGAACACCGACCGTAGCTGCAGCAAGTCGTAGCAGGATTTGAAAGCGAGCCTCCTATCGACTGCGCTAACGCAGCTCCCAAACCAAACCAAACATAACTGATAGGCATAAGCATCAATTTTTTTTTTTTTTTTTTTTAAACCTCTGTATATCCTAATTACAATCTAGAGAGGTTGAACATGATTTGTTATTTTTTTTATGACATCTACAACTACTTACAACAGCCAGTTTGTTCTTGAACTGGTCACACTTATCAAATATAAACTGGTGAAAAGGCACATTTGTTGGAATATCTAGATTTGGCAGAGGACTTCTGACTATGTTGTCCTGGGATACATTAGATGCTGCAACTCTTGAGAAGCACAGGTGGCGTCCTTGTGCAAAAGTTGCCGAATGGTGACAGTACTGAGGTTTGTGGCTTCTTAAAGAAACCACGGATGTCAGACATGGAGAGCATCTCTGCCATTGTACCAATCTTGGCAGTTTGTGGTAGATGGAGATATTCATTGTGCAACAGATCTAAGGCACACTGTAAATAATAAAAAAATATATAATATAAAATAACAATAAAAGTAACTTCAAATTACTGAAAAATTCATTTCTGACTTTACAATCAGTTAAGATTATTTATTATTTTTGAGGGGACTGTGGTAGCCCTGTGGCTACCTGTCTTCCTGCTGACCCTGGGGTTTCAATTTGAATTCTCGCTACATGGAGAGAAAAAATGGGCTATACTCCAAATAACCGTCCCAAATTATTGAGGCAGAAAATATACCCTAACAGGGCCTTAGTCACATGTCAATTGCGACCTTCCAGCGACTTAAATTGCGCACTTTTGGCGGCTTCTGCCACAGCCAAGAGTATCCCCCACGCTCACACAGCGTGGATTGGGGCTAAACTAGATGGCTGGGACTCACGAGCAGCAGCTACCGCATGCATCTCCTGCAGCTTCCTTCATGAATGAAGGACCATCCCGAAAATGGTAACAAGAAATGTTCTGAGAAATGCAGGAGCTGTCGAGACGTGGACCACGTCGACTATAAAAATAGATATTTCACACAATATACACAAATTGTCAATGGCCTTAAAAAAAAATTATTAATCAGTTAACTTTTTTTTACTCATATGCAAGGCATTGTCTTTGATTTGACAAACTGTAACGAACCAAATGCAATGTAAGCACGTGCCTAATTACTGCATTTGTGAACCAAAAAAAAAAAGAATTTGTTGAGGCCCCTGTAGAGTATGAGTCCCGAAGCTGCAGTCGGGTTAACGTATGCCTAGTAAGTTTAACCCCACCAGGACATCACACAGAGCCCCCATGCGGATGAGGATCACCCGTGGAGAGGTCTCAGAAACCGCGTTCAGCCGTTAGGCTATATTGCGGCCTCCTGCAAAAGCCAAGGTGGGGCTTCAAAATAAAAATAAAAATTGTGTCCCACATGGGGACGAATGTTTATACGTATGCCTAAATTCAACACTGCTTTTTATGCTGAGATGCAGAAGCTTCTATAAAAAGTTGTTCATGATATTACACACATAATTCAAGTCGTCCCCTTGTGGGATGCAATTTTTTTTAAGCCCCACCCTGGCTTTCGCCGGGGGCCCTGAATAATATAGCTGGGCCACAAATGTGGCCATAATGGCTGAAAGGTGTTTACTGGGACCTCTCCACGGGTGATCCTCATCTGCATGGTGGCACTTTGTGTCACCGGGTGTTTATTGCCTGTGTGATGTCCTAGTGGGGTATAACAAGCAAGAAAGTCAATATTTTTCCGGTCAAAATGGTCGCGAGACAGGGGCACTGTTTGGAGCCGAGGCAAATTTGTTGCTTCGGATTTCATTTGGAATGTTCTTTCGACTGTGACCAACGTGGTAGTGTGAACTGTAGATTCAGAAAATGGGGCGTGGTCTGTCGTCGCAATGTTGGTGGTGCCCATGTGATTAAAACTGATCGCGTGGGCAATTGCTGATCTGTTGGTGACTTCTGCTACCATCAATGATAAACTGCATTTCTAATGTCGGACTGTTTGTGTTAGCACTTTGGATGGCTACCGTATGCTTTAATGCGTGTGTATGCTAGATATGCTGAGACAGCAGTCTTTTAATCTTTCCACAAGGGACTGTGATAAACATTCAGTGCGTTTTTCGTTGGCGCAGGAGCGGAGCAAAGATGGGGTGACCCGTTTGCTATGAAGCTGAAACTAAGACTACCAGACCAAACTACCAAGTTATTTCACACGCACAAAGAGTATACGCATAAAAAAAAGCATACACACGCAACTCTGCAGTACTGCGGGTGGTGTTTATACTTATGCTATGGTAAACTACAATGATGTCTGCTAACATAATAAAGTGATTTTTTTTAGCGTGTCTAAATATCTCCCGTAACAGATGTGTAACATGTATCATTTGAACTTTCATTTAGTCGATCTCACACCACACGCACCATACCGTATGTCACCACTGAATGTTACCATCATAAATGCAGCATGTTTTCCGCAGGCAGAAACAAATCAACATCAACAACGCCTCTCTTCTCTAGATGCTTTACTGGATTTACGATCGATAAAGAATATTCGTGTTAGCCGAAAGACGAGAAGTTGACAGCCTTCTCTATCTGGTTACATTATTGCCTGTTGTGTGGAGTCAAGAATTGACATCACAGCACTCAGGGCACTTCCATATGCGCTCCGCCCCATCTTCAGCAGCCAGCGCAGAGTTCCAGTAATAATGGTACCGGTCGAAGTCTGGTTATACGCCCGTCTTGTTCTTTCTCTGAGTGTAATTAACCGGACAGATCCTCTGGTACCACCCAGGTGAATCATTCTCTCCATGCCATATTATTGCCTGATGTAGAGTAAGGCCGTCGGCTCTGTGGCTCAGTCGATGCGAACGCTTCGTAATGCCGGGGTGCCAGGTTCGATCCCAGCTGCGGGCCATGGTTTCGAAAGAGGTATCAAGAAAGCCGAGGGGCTGCTGGGGTTGGTTCTGCAACGTCCTGTAAAGGATACGCAACTAACCTAGAGTAAGGCCGCTCTGATTGCATTGTAGAAAGGTTTTTTTTTTTTTTTTCAAGGTTAAAAAAGGGGTGTCGGTACTCATAATAAAGTGTGTAAAAAGGTGCCAGTACTAGCCACGAAGTGTCTATTGCAGTAGCGCTAATACATTTTGCCTAGAAACGATGCCGGTACTGCCCACTGTTTCATACCGCATGGAAAAAAAATCCCTGATTGTCTGCCAATACAAGCTAAGCCTCGTTGAATCTAGACGCTTGCCTGCGGGGTCAAAGGTCGCGTGTCTGAAGAGGTTAAGGGTCAGATTCAGTGTTGCCACTTTGGATCTTTTATATCCAAATTTAGATCTTTTTTCATTGCATTTAGATACTGTTTTTGACGTTTAGATCGTAAGTGTTTTTCTAGACTCTTTTCATTTGGAGTTAGATATTTTATAGATTTTTTTTTCTTTCATTGTCAATTTAATAATTACTGTGTAAAATATTTACTACAATATTTTTGTTTTGGTCTGGCACGTACATTGTGACAACTGCCTTTACTTGAACTTTGAACTCTCACTGGGGTCAACGCACAAATATCTGGCAGCCCCGGTACTGATTAATAAAAACGCGCGTAAATCATACTAACTTTGTTTCAACCGTATCCAAACTGTGCTGACTTTGCGTTTCTATTTCATGTGATTAAAAAAAAAATAATTGCTCACCTTCTTATGTGGCTTTCACTTTGAAAAACCTTTCAACATGCCAAAAGTAAAGTATGAGCAAAAAATTTGGAAAGAGTGGTTGAATTATGACAAAATTAAAAACTGGGGATATGACCAAAGCTTGTTGTAAGTACTGTAAGTGTGAAATTAAAGCGAAAATACAAAACTCAAAGAGTCATGCAGAGACTAAAAAAAGCATAAAACTGCAGTTTCATTTAAAGATATTACACCGCTGACATCTGTTTTCAGAACTATACTGATAAATGAATCATCAAAAGTTAAAGTATCAGTCGCAATGTTTTTAATTTGTCACTGCGCAATTTCAAACTGTGACCATTTTATCGATTTGTAAAAAATCTTGGACTAGTTCAATTTGAAAAGTGTGATGTAAAAAGTATAGTTTAGGAACTGAAGGACCTTTTAATCAGCAAACAGTTAGGCTTGAAGAATTTGGCTGTAATTGGTACTGATAATGCCTCAGTGATGGTTGGTATAAACAATGGCGTTTATGCCAAGTTGAAGGAAGCTAACTCATCGTTAATACTTATAAAATTTAGGCGTCATTCATTGCAGCTAGCATTATCACATGCTTCATCAAAATATTTACCAAGGAATTTGGAATACCTTATTGCTGAAACACTTTACTGGTTTTCCAAATCATTTGTCAGACAACAGCAATACAATACATTATATACAGCCTTGAATGATGGTTCCACACCACCGAAAATTCTGTCAGATTGCAAAACTAGATGGTTATCAATTTAACCAGCTTTTGAAAGAATTATGAAGCAATGCCTGAAGTTGAAGACACATTTTGAAATAACAAGACAAAGTGAAAAGTGCTACACAGCTGAAATACTATATGGAATGTACAGTGATGAAAAAAAATTGTCATTTATTCTCTTTTTATAACCTATTCTAATGGAAGTGCAAAAAGTTAATAAACTGTTCAAATCTAAACTTGTTGATAAAGTTAAATTACTTGATGATCTCACCTTGCTATTTCACTCGGTAAAAGACTGGTGTTGCCAACTTCTAAAGCTGATTTGCTCACTTGCACTATAGAGAGCTATTTGGCTCCTAAGCCACACCTTGGATATTAAATCGAATCAAAAATTGATGATTTAAAAACAAAAGGACTGTTAACAGAGAATGAAGAGAACAACTTAAGAAAACTCTGTCAAAATTTCCTTATCTCATTATTGAAGCAATTGAAGCAAAGACTTCCTGAAAATCTAGATGTTTTGAAAAATATTTTACATTTTTCAGGAAGCAACATACTTCAGCCAATAAAGGACATACCTAAATATTGTAAAGTTGTGAAATTTTTAGGGGCTACTGATTATAGTGTCGCGGAAGCAGAATATCAGTTAACCAAAATAAAGTTAGCTGAATGGACAAACAAAACAGAAACTGAAGCGTTTTGGAGTGAAGTGAGACAATTTAAAGATGCCTGATCAAACAGTCCATTCTGTAAGCTCTTTAAAGTGCCATGACTGCCATGACACTACCCCACTCAAATGCTGACGTAGAAAGAGTTTTCAGTGCTGGGAATTATATCAAATCTAACCTAAAAAACAGGAGGAAATTTGACCTCTTAAATGCTATCGTGCCATTAAAGTTCGGCCTGATAAGACTAGAGAAATAAGCCTACTGTTCCACTTATAAAGAACAGCTAAAGCATACCAGGGTCATTTTGGATCTGAAGCTTCAACTTCATTATCCAAGCTAAGTTTATCCTGTGGATCTTGTGAGGCAGACATCAGTGAAGGTGAGGACATGATTAT